TATATATATATATATATATATATATATATATATATATATATATATATATATGTATATATGTATGTATATATGTATATATATATGACAATGTGTGTATAAGTCTATGATTATATATCCTATACTTTTAATATGTATATAATACTTGAAATTCATGCAGTTTAATAGTACGATTCTGAGCTTGTTTCCAATGAGGTGGTGTTACACTTCTGGATCGACTTCGAGAAGGTGTATGGTATCGCTGAAATTATATTTAAAATATATCCATCATAAATATGTTTTACAATAAAGCAACCAATAAGAGATATATTTAAATATATGTATCTAATGCGCTATGTAGACGTTATGTAACTAATATTAACATCATTGATTATCACAATAAGCACTTACGAATATTCCTCTTCCCTTAAAAATACGACCAGTCTTTCTATGAGATCGTATACGATCTCTTCCATAATGCTGTCTAAATTCCTTCTGATTTGCATTATTAGTAGATCCTGCTCTATATAAAAATTTATTTGCTGGTACTTCTGGAATTTCATCAGGATCAATTTTGGTAACCGATACTAATGGATGAGGTTGCCCATTATCTTCCTCATTCGAGTCTCGAATTTCACCATCTTCTGGCTTTGCTTTCTTTTTGCTGAAAAAAATCACAAATCTCGTTATATTATTAATTTATTAATAATCAACTATAAAATGATATAGTCCATAATATTTCATATAATCTGATGAAAAATGATTAGATAAAATAATAGACAGAACCTATAAATTCAACTACTTGTCATTTGCTTTTACATACCTTTTTTTGTTCTTCTTTTTTTTCTTTATCTTATCAACATAAGAATCAGGCTCTGAATCTGATGAACTACTCTGCTTTGTTTCACGTTTCTTTACTGCACATGGTAAAATGTGTAATTGTAACTGTTCCATCTCGTTTATTATCTATACTTAAAGAAGTAATATAATACCTTTATTTTTTATCTTTAAAATCAATTCTCCACAGTTTACAACCTTAGCATCCTGTAATGGACGTGACATACGATCCACCGGAAGTCCTTCGATGTGTGTAACGATTTCTTGCCCAGATACTACTTCTCCAAAAACCACATGGACACTGAAAATCAAACATTTGCGTATAAATACAAACAGACTTTTGAACAAGTTAGTGATTCAAATTGTTATTAAATAAAATTAAATAAAAATTAAATAAAATATCTTAAAATATATATGAAAGCGTATTTACTTGTCGAGGTGAGGCGCTGGTTGCGTTGTACTACAACAACAAAATATGATTAAGGGGATGAGAGATGAACAGAAAGAGCCAGCTTTCATTGGTCATTGTGTTGTAGTAGTGGTGTGCAGACCCTTCCCTCACGACTACGCAGAAACATCGCTAAGTTATTCATTCCTCCAGAATTATTCTTACTCCTACATTTTTCAATACTCTCCGCGAGTCTGCCTGCATATTTATTGTGGAAACAAAACTGTACGTTCGTGTCGAATTAAAATTTGCTGGCTTTTATCATGCATTTGCATCTACTAGTTCTAGATTAGAAGAATGCTTTTGTTATTGTGATCACGTTTGAGTTTTGTGTTTTTCATTCTCATATTCTATTTATTATATACAAAATACTTAGTTGTTGAATAGATGAAATGGATTTCTAAAAAAATTTCTTTATATATGCACATAATTACCACTAACAGTAATATATATAATAACCATGTTGTAGTATCTTGTGCCTGTAAGGTTTTATTGCATACATAAGCAGATATACAAATAATATTGCAAGCATTTAACATTTTTATTAATTTGTGCATAATGCACATATACTTATGTGTGTAGCAAAATATTGTGTGTAATATAGTTATATACTTTAGAACTTCCATATCAAATGACATCAAGTTAAATGCAATAAAATATTAACAATGCAATTAGCAAAATTCTTAAGAAAATAGTAGAAAATAAATATTATTTCAAAGTTTATTAATCAAAGTAATTAGTACTTACATAAAAAATTGTGAGCCATTAGTATCTCTACCACGATTTGCCATTGACAATAAAAATGGTTTATCATGTTTCATAATAAAACTTTCATCTACAAAAATTTACAAAATGATAAACAATAGTATCATAATGCTAAATCAAATTTTTTAAGCTTATACAGAATTTTTTTACTAGAACTATATATATATATTTACCTGCAAATGTTCCACCATAAATCGATTCACCACCTGTTCCATTGCCTACTGAAAAATCTCCACCTTGAATCATAAAATCTTTTACGACTCTATGGAAAACAATGCCCTGATAATATAATGGTTTGCCTGTTGTTTTTCCAAGTCCCTTTTCTCCAGTGCATAAAGCACGGAAATTTTCACATGTTATAGGACAGATATCGGAAAAAAGCTCTAAGACTATTCTACCCATAGGTAGTCCACCAACTTCGATGTCAAAGAATACTCTTGTATTAACATCAACCATGATGAAATGGCATATGAATTATCTGTAAATTGCAATTAATAAACACCTAAGAAAATACATAAGAAAATTGGTATATTAAATATTGTAAATATGACATTATACAAGCACACCTACATAGATAGATTTTCTTTATATATAATTATAATAACAGATGTAAATTTTAAAAATATAATGAAAAATTAATTATGATAATTATGAACATGAATTCATGCAGTAGTAATATTGGTACATTGTGATGAAAATACCAATGCGTAGTTATACATAACGGTACAATTCATTTATAAATAATATTCCTTTGGTATAACCTCGTAATTTCACCTCGTATATTTAAAAATACTTAATACAAAACTATGTACGCATTATATTGAAAACAAATCATAACAATGAATTGAAAGGAAACGTTAATAACCATTGATTATATTTCCATTCGTAGAAACTTCGAAATAATGAGTTTACAAAAATTAATTAGCTTATCAAACGACAATCTACATACATAGATAGAAATACATCAATTTTGCGAAGGAGTTTTGAATATATGATTTAATGAAACTTACAAAATATATTCAGCGTTATATCAATTTTATACGGAATATATATAAACTTCAATTTTCTACCTCATCAAATACTGCCAAATGTTGACAAGACACTTTATCTTACCCCTGTACCTCTACTATATTACTAACGTAATGCTACGTGTTACAAGATCCATCCAATGATGCTACTTCAGGTTGCTTATAGCAGAGAGAAGAAGGAGAGGCGTCATGAGCCAGTTTTAGGGCTGCGTTCCGAAATTCACTGTCAGTACTGAACATCCATAGTTCATTGGTCTGTTCTTTACAGCTGCACTGCTGAACTGGTGCAAAAAATTAGAGTGAGAAAATATATACTTGTCTCACTTTAACTTATTGCATCAGTTCAGCAGTGCAGCTGAAAAGAACAGGCCATATGTTGTATACTATAGAATTTTAACACTGGTAGTGAATTTCGGAACGCAGCCCCTACTGAAATATATACTACCAGCAGATCTGTTCTGTTCTGTTTTCTGGCTCTGTGTAAAATCACTAGATATAAAGTACTGCGGGAGCGTCCCGATTGACCACGGTACGATTGGACACAACCAACCGATGAAAAGAATTATCTAGTGAATTATTAGGTCGAACCAATCATTACAATCTGTGTCCAATCGTATCGTGGTCAATCGGGTCCCACCCAAGGGTGCGTTCGAAAACATCACCCGTATATATTTTGTCACACTCAGATCGTTCGAAAACCCCTAGTGGGCACACTGCCATGTGTTACGTCCACGATAGATAACTATATAGGGAAATTTGAAAGTAGTGAAATCAGTGACTTACGTGGACGGTCAACAGAGTGATGGCTCCGCTTTTGGGTCACTCTGCTTTTCACCGAGTTTACCCTGGGTCTCGGGAGCCTGGCGAAACGATTGATGAATCTGGCGAAAAGTCAGCGGTGCTTGTTCTCCTGGCTCGGCCTCGGATGTTCCGATACCACGCGGGTTGATGCGGCCCGCGATTCAGAATTTGATTTTGCAACGTTTGAAATATGAAGGGTAGGCAAAAGTAATTGCAACACAGTCGGATTTTACGACTAAGTATAATATACTGAATAAGTACATGAAGCTACCAGAGACTAACTATGAGAAGAAAATAATTATATATATTGCCTTCTCTACAAATGCGCGCGCTTTTATACGTCGCTTTGTCGCTGAGAGTCGTTCTCCGATTGGTCCATGGAGTTATGGCGAGGGAAGAGATTCATTCCTTTGCATGATGTCACCGCGTCGGTGTCCTGAGTGGTGTTT